TATGAGTGTGTGTGTGTGTGTGTGTGTGTGTGTGTGTGTGTGTGTGTATTCTCTATGTGTGAGTTTGTCCACAGTATCATAGAGGCCAGAGGTGTTAGATCCCCTGGAGCTGACCTTACTGGCAGTTGTGAGTTGGACCAGTGTGGGCGTTGGGAACTGAACCTGGGGTCTTCTGCAAGAGCAGTGCAAGCTTTCAGCCACGGAGCCATCTCTCCAGCAGTATTTATGTATTTTTGAGTGGGTCTTACATAATTCAGGCTAGCGTCTAACTTTCTGTGTCGATAGGGATGACTTTGAACTTCTGATTCTCCTGCCTCCATCTTTTGAGTTCTATGATCATAGTCCTGTGCCGCCATGTCACATACACAGGATAATGGGATCAAATCCAGGACTTCACGAATGCTAGGCAATCACTCTACCAAATGAGCTGCATCCTCAGCTCCCAATAAACTATGTGTGTGTGTGTGTGTGTGTGTGTGTGTGTGTGTGTGTGTGTGTGTGTGTGTTTTCTGTTTGGTTTGAGAAAAGTTCTGTGTAGCCATGGTTGGCTTGGAACACAACATGAAAACCAGGCTGACCTCAAATTGATAGAGATCCACCTGCCTCTATACCTTCCAAGTCCTGGAATCAAAGGCATGTGCCACCATACCCAGCTTTTAAAAAGTTCTACTTTGCCCAGCTAAAAAAATAAAAAAATACTGTATTACATTTCTTTCTTTCTTTAATTAATTAATTAATTTGTGTGTGTGTGTGTGTGTGTGTGTGTGTGTGTTGTACTCATGTCAGGGTACATGGGAAGTCAAAGGACAACCTGTAGGTGTCAATTCTTTTCTTTTCGCCATCTTGCTGCCCCCCCCAATAAAGTATCTTTAAGCGAGTATATTTGAACTTGTTATCAACCAGTCACTGTTAGGTTCTAGGCACATGTAGTGGAAGGAGACAATGACCTTGTCGTTTAAGGAGCTTGCGGTCTGAAGGAAGACACAGTGTTCTGTGTTCAGCCCCAGTGTGTTAGGGGCTGATAGAGGCATGAGCAAGCCTCCTGGGGCTCACAGGAAGAGGTGTCAACTTATTTTTGGAAAGCAGTCAAGGGTCTTGCCCAGAGTGTTATCCCTACTTAAACTGGAGTTTAGTATTGCCTGACATTTAGTTCTTCAGCTGGTCAAAGATTTGAAGACTATTCCAGACCTTGGCTGGTAATGGAACCCAGTTGGCAAAATACTTTCCTGGCATGGGTTTGATTCCCAGCACTGCAGGAATTTTGTGTGGTATAATTACAGGATTATATGCCTGTAATCCCAGAGTTTGGAGGGAGGGGCAGGAGGATCAGAAGTTAAAGTCATCCTCAACTACACAGTGAGCTCAAGGCCAACTTGGGCTACCTGTCTCAAACAAAAGGAGGTGGGGGACTGTCAAGATGGCTCAGAGATTAAGCACACTTGCTGATTTTATAGAAGACCTGGGTTTATTTCCCAGAGTCCACCTGGTGGCTCACAACTGTCTGTAACTCCAGTTCCAGATGATCCTACACCCCTTCTGAATTCTGCACGCACTGCACTTATAAGCAACCCCCCACATATACACATATATGTATAAAATAAGTCTACACTTAAAAATTAATATTTCACTGAGTTTGGTGATGTGTGCCTATAATCCTAGCAATTTTGAAGGATGAGGTGCTTGGAAGTTTGGGGCCAGCCTGGTGGGTTTCAGGTTACCCTATGTGACTACGGTCTTTGACAAATGGAGGTCCTGCCTCTTTACAAATAAATTTTTAGCCAGGCGGTGATGGTGCATGCCTTTAATCCCAGCACTTGGGAGGCAGAGATAGGCAGATAGATCTCTGAATTCAAGGCCAGTCCGGTCTACAGAGTAAGTTCCAGGACAGCCAGAGCCACACAAGGAAACCTTGTCTCGAAAAACCAAAAATAAATAAGTAAAATTTTAAAAATGAGAAGAATATTCCAGACCCAAATAACTAAACTTTGAAAAGCAACTATGCCAGAAAGAGGAAGAATGATACCTTCGGCAACTGTCGGTTTATGTGATGGTATTGGTGTCAGCCATATATGGAAGGGTCTGGTGTAAGTGGGAAGATTCCAGCTTAATGTTCAAGGCCTTGTGCCTCCTTCCCAGAACAAAAGAGTGATACAATTCCAGTTGTGTTCTAGATAGATCTAGATAGCTCTCCATAGAGTGTACAGAATATAGCCTAGAGCATTTTCCACAATCAAAGAGCTCCAAGTCGCCTTTGAAAAGGAGCTGATGAGAAATGGTGTCTACCAAGACCTCGGTCTAGCAGGCACCATCCTGAGTGCTTCACAAACTCACTCTGTATGGCAGAGAGGGACACTGACCTAAAGGAGGCCCTTCGGCTTGCCTGTGACATCCACTATCCTCGTGGGCAGATGCAAGAATTGACTCTGTTATGACCCTTCCTCTTAGATTCCTGATGAAGGGCCCGGAAGGAGTCCTAAGCAAGGACATCTGCCTTTGGACAGAGCAAGGACAGCTGTCTTTGAACCAAGCAAGGACAGCTGTTTTTGGATAGTGTAGATAGGCGAGGCTTCTTATCCCAGAGGAAGTCGCCTCCAGTCTGAGGTTGGAGGCAGAAACCTAGGTCCTTATGGGGAAAACCCTCCAGAGGGAGGAAGTAGATTATTTCACAGCATGTGGGGGCGGGACTGAGGTCCCTCAGCATTCGGGGAGTGTCATAGAGAATGAGGTGAGTGGTGGGGAGATGAGGGATCGGAAAATTGAGCTGGGATTATTAGGCTATGTATTTGTTCCAAATAATTGGACTGTACCCTAAAGGCAGCGAGAAGCTATTGAAGGATTCACTGTAAAGAGTGTTGGGGCTGCACTGTGGATGAGATCACATACTCCTCAGTGTCCATGGGGATGAGCCTGGGGACCCCAGCAGAACACTGAGTCCCAAAGGTGTTTATAACCTGTATGTAAAATGGCACAGACACAGAACCTAGACACATCTCCCGTATACTTTGATTGTTCCTTTATCAGGTAAATATTCAACAAATACTCAAATGTCACTTCAGAAAGGACTATGCTAAATACCCCACTTAAAATGGTCACAACAGGGACAGCAAGATGGCTCCATGGAGGCCGGGTGGTGGTGGTGGCGGCGGCGGCGGCGGCGGCGGCAGCGGCGGCGGCGGCGGCGGCGGCGGCGGCGGCGGCGGCGCACGCCTTTAATCCCAGCACTCGGGAGGCAGAGGCAGGCGGATCTCTGTGAGTTCGAGGCCAGCCTGGGCTCCCAAGTGAGTCCCAGGAAAAGGCGCAAAGCTACACAGAGAAACCCTGTCTCGAAAAACCAAAAAAAAAAAAAAAAAAAAAAGATGGCTCCATGGATAAAGATGCTTTCAGCACAGGACTGTTGACCTGGGTTAGATACCCGGAACTGACCCTGAGAAAGGTGTTCTCTCACCTCCATACACAGGCTGAGGCATGCACATGCCTCCCCTCCCCCACCCTTCCCCAATAACAAGAATAAATGAAATTAAAGAAATGATCATAGCCCAGCTTGGTGTCACACATCTTTAATCCCAGCACTCAGGAGGGGTTGGCAGGTAGACCTCTCAGTTTGAGGTCAGCCAGGTCTACAGAGCGAGTTCCAGGGCAGCCAGGGCCACACAGAGAAACCCTGTCTCAAAAAAACCAAAATAAAATAAAATAATAAAAAATGATCATGCTGTTAGCCTTTCCTACTTCTCCCGAGTTTTGCTTTCTCTGTTACCCACAGCCAACTGCAGTCTGAAACTATTTATCAGAAAGCTCCAGAAATAGTGCTCATGGGTCCAGAAGAGGGCGTCTGACTCCTTGGAGCTGGAGTTACAGCTAGTTGTCAGCCGCCAAGTGGACGCTGGGAATTGAACCTGGTCCTCTGCAGAAGCAGCTAGCTCTCCAGTCTGTTGATCCATTGTGCAGCTCCCAGTTCATCAGTTTTAATTTCATGCTTTATTAAGGTGCAGCTGTTCAAGAAATCCTTATTTATCTAACAAAGGCCCCCCTCCCCTCCCAAGTAGCGTACTGGTATTAACAACTTGGACAGTCCAAAGAGAAGTTATGAAGGGCTTCTTTTAAGTGAAAAGGTAAAATTTCTTAACTTAGAAAAACAATACAAGCAAAACAAAATAAAACAAGCGCTTGCCAGGATTGCTATGGTATGCTATGGATCGCTACATGATATGATATGGGTGAAACTGCAAAAACGAAGGAATTCGTGCTAACTTTACTTCAAACTGTAAAAGCTACGGTCATGGTGCATAAGTTGTTTCTTTTCTTAAAAAACAAATAGCGTCCCCCCCCCCAAAAAAAAAAAAAATCAAAACAAAACCAAACCATCAGGGGCGGCCGGAGAGAATCAGCAGTTAAGCTAATTAAACATTGTTTTTATGTTTGTTTGTTTTGTTTTTTCGAGACAAGGTTTCTCTGTGTCGCTCTGGCTGTCCTGGAACTCACTTTTGTAGACCAGGCTGGCCTCGAACTCATAGAGATCCGCCTGCCTCTGCCTCCCTAGTGCTGGGATTAAAGGAGTGCGCCTCCACCGCCCATCCAAAGGAATAAATCTTAAAACACTTAATTATGTGTATATGTACGGGTATGTGCACGCTGAGTGCAGTGTCCGTGGAGCCCAAAAGAGGACGGTGGAACCTCTGGAGCTGGAGGTACAGGAGGTTGTGGGCCGTCCTATATAGGGATTGGGACCCGAACTCGGGGCCTCTGCAAGGGCAGCAGCAATCGCCGTTGACCGCTGAGCCGCCTCCCATCCCTGCTCGTTTCTTTTCACATGTGCACTGGAGGCGCACAGGGTACTCGCATCGGTGTGCGGCGTCCCAGGTTTAGAGGAGGAATCGCTCCCACGACCTGGCGTACAGCTCTTCTCTGCTTCAGAGGAAGCCCTCGGGCAGGGCCGGGCAAAAGGGAAGCAGGAAGTGGAGGCGGCGCAGTGCTGACGTCACACCGGCGCCGGCGGCAAAGGGGCGGGGGCGAAGGCGGGGCGGCCGCGCCGTGTCCGGGATCCAGGCCTGGCGGGGGTTGTTCGCGCGGCCGGCCGGCTCTGCCTGCACCGGTGTCGGCTCCCCAGCGGGGCCTCGCTCGGGTCCCCCCATGTGACGGCGCCCCGCGGAGCCTGAGCGAGCTGCGGGTCCGTGCGGAGCCGGAGGCGGGAGGAACATGACATCGCGGAGGTGAGCCGCCCGCAGGGGCCGGGCTGCGGCCTGGGTCCCCGCCGCGCTCGGTGCTGCCCGGTCGTAGCGGGGTACACCCGGTCTCCCCGCCGGTCCGGCGTCCCCGCTGCCCCACCGCCCCCCCCCCCCTGCGGGTCCCCATTCATTTCCTGCCGCCCCAAGTTCCTGCTCCCGCGGCCCGGGATGCCCGTGGGGACACCCGCGGCCCGGCCGGCCGCTGCATTCCTGACCCATTGCCTCATGAGCGTCGCCTCCTGGGGATTCCGAAATAACCCCGCGCGCGCTCGGGGAGGCGCCTGGGCCATCGCGGGGCCTTCACGCGGGACCCTTTTAGGTGCCCGCTTTCCGCGTCTTCGCCCTCGCCCCTAAGTGCCAGAAGTGGGAAAACTGACGCTGTCTCCCGCCGATGAGACTGTTCCTTACCCCCGTGATCTTCGCTTTGAAAGGTGGGAGGGAGGGGAAACTTACCGTGTCGTGGAATCCTTCCCTCCGGTAACTAATGTGTTCCCGTTTTACGGATGTGGAAACTGAGGCTCCTAAGTAACGTGCTCGTGACAGGACAGGATTTGAAGCTAAGGTCAGGAGGAGGATTAGTGAGCGAATGGGCCTCCTTTGAAACTTCAAGGTAACAAGACTCAGTTGCTGACATTGGCTTTGCTCTTACTAGAGGCCAGCCTAACACGTACCGCAGTCCTGTGTGGGTCAGCGGTGGTCTTCCGTGCTAAAGATGAGCAAATTGAGTTTTCAGAATTAAGCAAATTGTCGTGTGTTGCCCTCATAAGTGGTGGAGACAGAATCTGGATGTTAATGACTAGGTTGCTGTTATTGTTCTGTAACTGTTGCTAATTATTTGTAAGCTGTAATTTTGTTGCTAAACACTAGTGTGACCTCTGGTTCTTAAATAAGGATGGTGCTGTTTTGTACCTCTCCTAGACCACTCACACACACACACACACACACATCCCATTGTCTATTCTTTTCCATGACGCTTCAGTTTTATGGCCACCAACTGAGACATTTGAAAAAACGATTTCAAGCTGTTGGCATGTACTTGAACAAGAGACTTTTCAAAATATTAGCTCCTCAGAAATACACCTGAATGGTATTCCTTCATGGTTCAGAAACCAAAAAAAAGAGAGGGGAAAAAAAAAAAGAAAAGAAAATTGAAAACTAGTAGAAAATGAGTGACTTGGACAGGTCTCTTGGCGTGTGCTTGCAGATCCGGGTAATGTCTAACTCCATTTCAACAGAACAGTGTATAGAACTCAAATGTTCTAATTCTTCAGGGAGCTTTTAAATAAAACAGTTGTCTATTCTTTAATCTGTCAGACAGTCATTGAGTCTTTTGTCCCTTTTGTCTGCTCTTCCAGACTAGCAAGAATCTGCCGCTTTAGGAGACAGAAAGGCAGCCCTGGGGGTGGGGAGAGGGGCGAGGAGCAATAGACCCCACATTGTCCAGCTTCTTAGTGGAGCAGGAGGGCCGTGTGGGCACAGCCCAAGCAGCAAGTGATCAGAAAGACTGTTTGGAATAGAGTCATCCCTTCTCCCCAGCCCTGGTACTTCATGCACCTGTCACAGAAAAGTAAGTGTTTCCTGAAGATTCCCATTATGGAACTCAACACATATAAAGTGGCCCTTGTGTATTTTTTTTTTTTTTTAAGTTATGAGGTTGATGGATTGAGACAGGGTCCCTCATGTTGCCCAGGTTAGCCTCCAACTTACATTCCCTTAACCTCAGCCTCCTAAGTCCTGGCATTACAGGCTAGATCTCTATAGGAGCTTGTTTTATGTTTTTTTTTTTTTTTTTAGTTTTTAAGTCAGTTTTTTTTTTTTTTTTTTTTTTTTTTGCTTTTCGAGACAGAGTTTCTCTGTAACTTTGGAGCCTGTCCTGGAACTCACTCTGTAGACCAGGCTGGCCTCGAAGTCACAGAGATCCGCCTACCTCTGCCTCCCAAGTGCTGGGATTAAAGGCGTGCGCCGCCGCCGCCGCCGCCGCCGCCGCCGCCGCCGCCGCCGCCGCCGCCGCCGCCGCCGCCGCCGCCGCCACCGCCACCACCGCCACCACCACCACCACCACCACCACCCCCCGGCTCTAAGTCAGCTTTATGAGATGAGCTGCATCTAATTCAGCAGACAGTTTGATAAGCCTTGACTTCTGTGCATCCTTGGGAAACCATTACCGCAGTCAAGATAATGAACATATCCACTACGCCTGCTGAGGTTCTCAGCTGTCCTTTCTGATCCCTTGACCACCGTTCCACCATCATTAGTTTGCATTTCTTAGAATTTTAGATAAATTGAGCTAGACAATAGGAACTCTTTTTCTGGGGGAAGCGGTCCTGATATTTGATTATTGAAAATTTTTTTTTCTTTTTCCATTTATGTATTCATTGTGTGGGCCTATGTCCGGGCGTGCATGTGTAGGTCAGAGGACAACTTGTGGAAATGGGCTCTCCCCACCACACAGGTTCCAGGGATTAAACTCAGGTCATCAGGCTTGGCAGCAAGTTCCTTCATCGCTGAGCCCTCTCCCCAGCCCCGTCTCACTCTTTATTTAAAAAACAAATGAATGCCGGGCGGTGGTGGCGCACGCCTTTAATCCCAGCACTCGGGAGGCAGAGCCAGGCGGATCTCTGTGAGTTCGAGGCCAGCCTGGACTACCAAGTGAGTTCCATGAAAGGCGCAAAGCTACACAGAGAAACCCTGTCTCAAAAAACCAAAAAAAAAAAAAAAAAAAAAAAAAAAAAATAAAAAACAAATGAAGAAACAAACAAACAAACAAACATTTATCTGGGGTGCATGTGTAGCTTTCCCCAGACTATGAAGATCAGAGGTCCTATCCTTGCACAGGTTGTCCTGGGGATTGAACTCAGGGTGTCAGGGTGGTCAGCAGGTGCCTTTACCCACCGAGCCATACTTTTTATGTGCAACATACGTATTTCTTTTTTCCAGGACAGGACCTCAGTATATAACTCTGACTGTTCTGGAACTCATGCTGTAGACCAAGCTGTCCTCGAACTCTCAGGGATCCGCCTGCCTCTGTGACCCAAGTGCTGGCATAACATACCTGTTCTGAGATCCATCCACACTGTGTCTGAGAGTTCAGTGACTTGTTACTATTGAGTGTGCAGCATTCCATTGTAGGGCTGCTTACTTATTTACCCTTTTGGACCGACCTCTGGCTGTTTCTAGAACTCGTCACTCACATGTGATGTTGGGAATGCTCCTGCAAAGATGTCAGCGTGGTTTCATCTCTCTTCAGTAGCCATCTAGAAGTTGAATGTCTGTGTTTGACTTTTACAGACACTTGCAGACTGTGTGCATGAGGGCTTCCCTCCACTTTCCGGCCACACTCTGAGAGTTACATGCAGCTTGTCCACATTTCGCCAGACTTAGTACAGTCAGTCCTTGTAATCTGAGCCATTTTTGTGGAATGTCATGTGTCAATTCAGTTCTGATTTCTTTCTTTCCATCTTTCTTCCTTTCTTCCTTTCTTCCTTCCTTCCTTCCTTCCTTCCTTCCTTCCTTCCTTCCTTCCTTCCTTCCTTCCTTCCTTTCTTTCTTTCTTTCTTTCTTTCTTTCTTTCTTTCTTTCTTTCTTTCTTCTTTTTTTGAGACATGGTTTCTCTGTGCAATAGTTTTGGCTGTTCTGGAACTCCCTTTGTAGACCAGGCTGTCCTTGATGTCCTTGAACTCACAGAGAGCCACCTGCTTCTGCCTCCCAAGTGCTGAGATTAAAGGCATGTGCCACCACTGCCCAGCTCTTTTTTTTTTTTAAGATTTATTTTTATTTTGTGTGTACCACACCCATGCCTCATTCCTGCAGAGGCCAATAATTCATTATTGTGCGGAGTGTGGGTACCTGCTAGCTCTCTTCCGTGGCTGTCCAGTTGCCTCAGCACTTCTCCTAGGGAGCCTGTCTCCACGGTAGAGGCTGCTCCATTGTTGAAGAACACTTGACCTTCATGTGGGTTTGTTTCTTGACTCTCTTCTCTTCCGCAGATGTTTCCCTGTCTTCATGCCAGTTCGGAATGGCCTTGGTTCTTTTTGTAAAGGAAGATTTTCTGTTTAACTGTGTGCTTCCACGGGGAAGCCAGAAAACAACTCTGTGGAGTCACTTCTCTCATTTCCACCTTTCTGAGCATTCTAGGGATTGACTCAGGTTGTTCGGCAAATGCATTTACGCCTGAGCCATCTTGCTGGCCTGAGGATCTGAGAAGACACCAAGTTTTGATGAGGATTCAGGGGAGGTCTTTTTGAGGAAGTCACTGTAGGAACTAACACTTGAATGACAATCACCATATCGACGTTTTTTTTACTTAGTTATCATAATAAACTTTTGTTTTCTTTTTAGAGACAGGGTCTCACTATGTCACACTGGGTGGTCTGGAACTTGCTATGTAGAGCAGGCTGACTTTGAGCTCACAGAGACTCACCTGCCTCTGCCTCTTGAATGCTGGGATTGAAAGTGTGTGCAACAATCCCCAGTCCTAAAATAGTTCCTTTTGATTAGTGTCTGCAGGCTTTAGACTTTTATGAACATTCAGTAACTAGCATGTTGGCATATTCAGTATGTTGGCTTCTCAGCCTTGAAGGTGGGGAAACTAAGGCATGGACTAACTAAATGACTGGTCCTGGGGAACCCAGCTGAGAGAATAATGAACTTAGGTGTTAAAATTTCACATGTGCCCTACCTTGTCCTCACTCAGCTGACAAAACTGCCTGTCTTTTCTGGCCTTCTTCCTTCAGTCTGCTTTTGCTCCTCCAAAAGATGCATGTGATGACTTGGGCTGAGGGTGGAATGTTGAGCTGTCCTCAGACTGGAGGGCTCTGGTTTGTCATGGCAGTCAAGTACATTTTGTCCCAGGTGCTCCCTGGCAGCCACATTGGTTTATCTCCTGGGGGAGTAAGTAAGCTTGTGCTGCTGAAAACCAGCAGTTCCCGTGCCTCTCCAGTGGAATCTCACTGCCTTTATTCATGTTGTGGCCTTACAGAAAGCCA